GACGTGTGGCACCTAGAGGGCCCAGCACAAGAGGGGTGCTGTTGCAAGGACCAACGGAACCGGGGGAAGGCCGGGGGAATGGAACACAGCTGGTGTGGGGGAAAGGCGGTGTCTCGTCGGACAAAAGAAGCGGCCTGGAAGGCATCGCGCATTGGGGGAAGCAAGAAGAGAAGGACGCACAATAACCGCCGAAGAATACGAACTTCAGATCAACACAAAATCAGTGTGATATGTACAAAATTGGCACAAGGCGAGGGGGTTGACCAACCACGAGCCTCACGCAAACCGCAAATGAACAGAGATGTCACACATCAGTATTCTGCGCTCGTGATCTCAGTGGAAGAGAAACGGGGACAAAGAAGAAGTGCTTGGGATGAGAAGAAGGAAGAGGATTTAAATCAAGTTCGTGGGGGCAACAGAGGGCCTATTGAGGCGCTGTCGTGTGGTGGTGGTCAGGGTCACGTGGGGACTGTGCATGATTGACGGGGGCAAGGCGCGGCGGGTCCTGTCTGGCGCGCAGGCTGGGGCACACGTATGCATCCAACGGCATAATACGGTGGACCGGAAACCTTCATCGGGGGGCCGGCCACCCCACGGGAACAGCAGGGCACCCACTAAACAAAAGGGAGAGCGGCAGTGAGAATGCTAGGGGGCCGCGCGGCAGGGGGCTAGCAGCTCAAACGACAAGGGTCCGGGATGAAAACGAAAGGTATCTGAACCATAGCTATTGACAGGGGGCTTCTTTCTCAACTTCTTAAGCAGCAGGGAAAAAAGTCGCATCTCAACACACTAACGACACCCTCTTGTTGTTAGGAGATTATAGAATTCTGTTGTCATTGTCCCGTTATTCCGCAATTATAAGCGTAAAGATTGACATATTTTGTGCAGAAATTAACTTTCGGGTTGTTTAGATTCTCTCTCTCGATCACCTCCTGGTCGGGGGCGGGGGCCGAGGGGGGCCAGACGCCAAGGACCCAGTCCCGTCGTAGGATTCCTCCAAGTATGGGGGATTTATAGGATTCCGGCCACGGGGGGGGAATGGGACGGAGGGCCAAACGAAGAGAGCCGGAAATTTCGGCAGGAACATGAGCAGATTTAGTAAAAAAGGAAAACAGAAGGGTCCTAGGGGTGCGCAAGCGTCAGGGGGTGGTGGCCGAAATTCACACGGGCAATGTGGGCGGCTTCTCCAAATGATCAAAAAAAAGAGGCCAGTGGAGACGGGAGTGGCGAGAGGCAGGCAACAGGCAAAAAACCGATGCGGTTCGAACTGAAAGGCCGAGATATCCAGCCTAAAGTTGCCGGCGGGCCGTTTGCTCAAGTAAGAGTGTTGTGAGGTGGAGGGGAGGCAAAAACAGAGATTGTGTCGCGCCACGGGCTGATGCTTGTTTCCAGGCGGTCGGAGCGGAGCTAAGCGGAGGGGCGAGCGGGGGCAGGGGCTGGGGGGCAGCGGAGGAGGGGGGGGGAGGGGGAACCATCGACCTATCCGAAAAGGGGAGAAGAGAAACGCGATGGTGTGGGGGTGACGGCGAGGAGCAGAGAAAGATAGGAGCCGGAGGTATTTCTGCTCAGATTTTCAATTCTTAAAAGTGAATGCCTAGTCAGATAAAAGTTGAAAACCAGTCAGTCATGTTTCATTAACATTTTAAATGTTTTCTAGAGAATATGTTTCACAAAGATTTTTCGTCTCATATACAGCTTCATATTAATGCTTCATTCAAGTACAGTATATATTTCGTCGACTAAACTATATTTTGAATTAAAGAATATTATAATAACAACAATAGGAAATTTTTTAAGATCGAATTAATTATTTTCCCTTTATTTCTTATTGGTAAAGTTCGTTCGGTATACGTGCAAGGTGCTGGAATGGATTAATAACGTATACCGAAATACCACTAATACGTATAATATTGTGCATCCAAGCTATTTAAAATATTAGTTTTTTTTTAATTTTGAAGGGGGTTGGGAAGGAAGTACCAGAAAAAAAAGGAGGCGAAATTTTTTTGCTGTTTTATTTTCCATGCCTTTATTGTTGTAAGTCTTTCATAGCTACTGCTACTTCAGAGTTCAGTTGTGCTAAGCAGTTTCTTCTGTATCCTTGCAATTTTTATCACCTATCATTATAAGGAATTAATTTTATTAATTCCAATGACATTTATTATTTTATTAAAACCAATGACAGTGGATTTATGTTATCTCCCCTCATTTTATTTTCATAAGCTAAAATAGACCGGCTATTACGTAGATTCGCCTTCATAGTTCCTTCCTCTACTATTTTTCATGTTCTTTTTTTAAGCACCTTGTATATGTAGGACACCATATTAGTATACTATATTATAATACATATTAGTTAAACTAGAAAACTTTGTAATTTTCTGATGAAGATCACGAATTTTATTTAGAATAAATGAAGCCTTCAACCAAGAAATAACTTTATACACTTTTCAAAAGTGTCTAATTATTTTTGGTGTTGTAATCTATTTAAGATGTTGTAAATTATAGCAAAAAAATTTCTCCTTTTGTATTATTGTATGCATATGTTAATATGTAAATTTGAATTAATTTGTAATCTTATTAATTTACGCAATTGTGGTGAACTTATTTATAAATACAAGTGTTTTGATATGTTTTAGTTTTTGAAATTCTCTTCTTCCAAGTATTTATTAAATGTGAAGAGATCAAGTAAAATGAAGACATTGCCTTATCAACTAATGTTAATAAGGCAGAAATCAACTAATGTTAACACTAAATCTGATGGCAAACTGGAGATACTTAGCGAAAGCTGGTGATTGTTGAAATTTTATAATTTTTGTTCTGGATGCTTTAGTCGTAATTTGTTTCAGTCGAAAGCCGCAAAGCTGATGACGGATACGTGCTAAGGGTAGGGATTCTTTTATGGATGATTTGTTAATAGAAATCGGCTTTTATTCACGATATACCGGAGGGGGAAAAAACATCCAAAATCGGTTTTGAATTTATGTTCGGCATACTGCCATCGGTCTAACCCTACTAATCTAGTGTTCACCAGTTTTATTCACTCGACTGCTGGTGTGCCTGAAGTCTTTAAAGAGGGAACCAGTTCTAGTGAAGATACGCGAAATCTATGAAAATAATTCTTCTTTCTTAAGACCTAATCTGTACACATTACTCAGTCACTAACAGAACGTAACAAAGTAAATCATAGATTTGGATTCTTACATTATCGAAAAAATTAGAGGAACCGTAAGTGAATTCAGACGTCTGATGTCTGTTTTCAGCTAGCACTTTCGAGTGTTTCTTCAGGAACATTGAAGTTGCATTTTTTTCTATTCTTTACAATTTAGCCACTTTGATATTTTAATAACGGCAAAGTTTCAGGCATAAGAAGTTAGTACTTATCAGTTTTGTGTTGATCCAGCGATCCTCAAACTGCAGGTGGCGACTCAAGAGTAGGCATGAGATAATGTTTGTGGATTGCAAAAACATTATCTCATGCCTACTCCTGAGTTCGTAGTACATAATTATGTATTTTACCTGTAATTATAAAATAATTTATGGTACTAATGTATTATCCTGTTGACAGTAAAACTGTCGTCAAAGAGCGAGAGTTAGATCTTATGGATAAACGTGAGGTAGTTACGTATTCATAAGATCTGCGCTTTTGCTTGATGTAAACTGGATTAATTTACGATAAATCACCTGTGTTTCTGTGAATAAGGGTATAAATTAACTGTTATTGCTATATTTTTCTTGCATTTAAAAAACAAACAAACAAACAAACAACAACAACAATAACAAAAAAAGAATTTGAAGGATGTAGAATCACATTTGTGTCTGCACTCTAGTTCATTTACACGAGAAAATTAGTATCTTTTGAATGGCAAGAACAGCTGGATATGACCTACAAAGAGTACTAAACTTGAATAACCATTTGCAGGAAGTTTATAGTCAAAGCGCTGTTAAGAAAGCGTCCGGTTAAATCAGAGGGCCTGCAAAAACAGTAGAAATCGATGAAGGCTTTTTATATGAAGCACGAAAATGAAGTAGATCGAATACTGATTGTTTACTAAATAAAGAGGCGTCAGTTCCTTCAGAATTCTGCGGGAATGATTGGCACGAATTTTGCGGAATTCATGATTCAATCGTAGCTAATTTTCTCTGTTGACGGGATAATATGCAAGTACCTAATTTAAAATCATCTATTAGTGTTGATCAGTACTTGTAAATACATGTTTATATTTTACTAGTTTACTCTACTGATCATATTCTATTTTACTATACTGATTATATATGTTTTACTATGCTAATATATGTTTGCATTTTACTATTTTACCATACTGATTTACCAATACTGATCATTCTATCTATGGAGAATATTGGATCTCCAAATGTCATTCCTCTGAAAAATTCCTTACTATGAAAAAACATCTTGTTCTTAAAACTTTTAAAATTATGAATATATCTGCTGCATTTGGAAAAGGCATTTGCCATCTCGCCTAAAAATATGAATATAGCAGCAGAATATTTACTGTTTCTTTAAAATTTCATTATTTTATTTATAATCTCACACGCAGTGACTTTATATTATGAGCATTTGATGTTAGGGCTTTGTTCAGATATTATGATTATTGGTAAGATGGATTTTACGAATTTTCAATCGAACTTCATGGATTCCATGAACTGTGGATTTTATTTTTAATGCCATTGCATTTTATTTTTAGTTTTTTATTCCTCTTTCATGCAAATATGTTTCACAATTTATATTTTGAAATATGTATTGTAATATGAAAAATGTAATTAATGTAGCTATTGTTTAAAATTAAAATAAATATAGTTAATGATAAATGTGGGACAATACCCGTTAACAATTCCTGGTAAATACTGGGTTTTTCCATTCGACGTCAATTGAATTGGACTAATACTAGTTATATACGTTTAAGAAATTACATTGTCATATTCTTTTCTTCCCACTTTTAAGGAATAAATAAAACTCTTGAAAGTTCTGAGGGAATAAAACAAAATAATTCTTTTTTTTTTTTAATAAAACATTACATTAAGTTCAAAATATTGGCAATGTTGAATAGTACAGGTATACCGCTCGCAATATACAAAGCTACATCATGGATACATAAGTCGGAGTCATTCCGAGCTCGGACTGGACTCAGAGCTGGAGGACTCTTTATCTATAGAAGATTCTATGGAAGACTGGCTGCTGACTGCTTTCATTAGCTTGCTTGTCATGAGGCTATTAACCACTCGCGCATGCACGCGAAAGAATTCGTCCTTTTTAGGATCAGCCCATGTCATATTCTGTTGTTTCTGCAAACGTTCTATCCATGCTGGGCACTTCATTCCATCGCCTTCTCTCTCTTGCTGCAAATACACATAAGATCATAAATACATGTAAAAATTTAAAATAAATATCTGTAGGGAATTTACAAGTTTATAAGAAACTGAGATAGAAGATGTAATTACATACTTCGTAAGTATCTAAATATGAAATTACACATTAAGTGAATACGTACATGAACTTATTTACTTCCCGTTTTCGATATAAACAAATTATTAATGTAGCATTATTGAGATATTTTTATTAAGATGATGCTTTATTATCGTTATTATTGTAATACCCAGGATTATTACTTTGAAAAGAATGTTCATTTTCTTTGCGGATTTTGTAAATGGATCATTATGTACACTCAGATAAGAATAATTATCTATTTACGAATACGTACATTATACATATCCATACAGTGTATGCATCATATATTAATATATAGTGTCTGTAACACGTTAAAATCAAGAATCTAAAAAACATTCCTATTTCCGGTAGGACGTATTTAAAGTTTTGAGGTGTTCGATTAGATTTGTGACATTTTGCAAGTATCTAGTGCTTTTAACGAAATGTAGAATTTTGAAAACTCGCTAAATGTTACTTTCTTATTGCCATCAGCAGAACAGCTGCTCCATTGAGTTACGTGCTCATCAGCCTGTTGGATCCCGTCGATGGAATAATAATAATAAAAATAAAACTGAGTGTTATGTTCTCCAGGACTGGACAATATAAAATGAGGAATACTAGAAGGACCGGAACAAAAAAGGAAAGCACATGACGGAGAAACTGCTGTTCAGCACTACAGTGAGTTAGTTATGTGATTCTAGTCTGTTGGTTCCCGTTGATGGAGTAATAATAAAAAGGAAAAAAAAAAAAAAAACTTAGTGAAATGTTCTCCCGAATTTAACTATATAAAACGAGGGATATTAGAAGAACCGGAATAAAAAGGGAAAGCGTATGATGGGGACAGTGCTATGACAGAATTATAGTACAAGTTAAGCATGCAAATAATAATAAGGACAGGGTGTGGCTACAAAGGGATGCAAAGTTGAATCAGTACAAAGAGTTAGAACATTACATGCCAAACAAGAAAAGTTTTCAACATTAAGTAATAAGAATATATACAATAGCTCGATACAGTGGAAGATGTTACATGGTGTTATACTAATTATAAAACATTACAGTGCGGCTGGCAGTATTGACTAATTATCATAATTCTTGTCTTTTGGTAATAGAGAGAGTATGGGAAGTAAAGGCCTTAATGCAGGATATTACATGCCTGTTTTTGCAGGTGTTAGCTATCCATGCGTGACGAATCTCAACTACTGACTTCTGCAGATGGTAGTTAGATGAAAATGGGCAATCTTTTTTGCTTAAAATGTTAGTGTAATTTTATTGCATGAAATGCTGTTGCGGCACTTAGTATATATTTGTTGGGCAATACACCTCTTGGGACATATTTGGGCCACGTGATTCGATAATTCTGAAAAGTTATTATTCGAGTTATATAGTTACATGGCTCTATGGACAGAATAATAGCGTTATGGGCTAAATCGGGGATATAAATACCCACTACTTAGATTTTATAGAGTTATTAAACATTTTAAAAGGTTTGTTTGTTTGTTCGTTGTCTTAAACTTTGTTTTCTTAAAATTTTAAAAGGCCTTATATAAAAAAAGGCGAAGAAAAAAAGTTGTCTGGCTTGGATGCACTCAGGAAATCGGTGTTTACTGAGTGTTAAATAATGGCATACTTTTTTTTTTCATTCGCTATGCTATTTAGATTTAGGATGTAAATTGATGACAGTATTTAAATTTGCTCCAAGATATCTTCACCTGTACAAATTGTTACTGATTGAAAAAAAGGTTCAAAATTTTTGGTTATTTGTTTGTTCTTCTGCTATGCTTATTCAAGTTTGTACGAGTTTGTACTGAGACACAAAATTGCTAACTCAGTATTTGAAAACACTAGAAAATATCAAAATATTTAATTCGTTGTTCTGAAGCTGAAGATGGTAACGATCTGTAGAGCAATTTAAAATGGAATCCTAAGTTTTAAAGAGTTTTAATTTGGAAAACAGGCAAGGTGTTAGTTTTATATATTTCAAACTGTGAATTTTAAGATTCTGGTTAATACAATCAGTAGCATGTTACAAGACTTATAATCATAATTCATATTCTGCGAACTGTCTTGATATTAGTTTTAAAATATCATAAGGATGATTGAACTTTGAAGGTAAAAACTGCGTACTTTAGTTATTGCTTACTTTAATTATTATTTTTTATCTAAGTTATTGCCAGTGTTAGCAGTGACGTCAGCATCTTGACAGAGTTTCAGGCGTTCCCTTATTCAATTCATTAGACAATCGGCGGGTTACTAGTGTATTAGATTTTTTTGTTTATAGATTCATTTTTTATGCTTTACATATATTGCTTATAATATGGATATAATTTGCATTTTGTGATTTAATTTGTGATTGTTGCGTTCATTTGCCTAACATTATACCTTTTCTAGTGCAAAGTAACAAATGAAATTAAAGATCAAAAGATCAACCGAAAATTGTTAGCGTCATTATAATATTAGTCACAAATAGTTCAAAGTAGCACGACTGTAAGATATATAAAGATAAAAACTTACCATTTCAATTTTCTTTGCTTGTTGTTCTAAAATTTTCTCTAGGGACGTTTGCTTCGAAGCAGCCAGATCTCGTTTGAGTTTACTTTCAGTATACTTCTGAAGCGCCCGTTGGAGTTCTGTCTTCGGGTTGATACCAAATTTACCACTGTAGGGGAAAAAAGTACAATGGTGTCACACTTATTGTATTTTTGGATAAAAATAATGAGGTAATTTAACATTACTGAAAACATTCACACATTAGAGTATTCATAAATCTACAGAATTTGTATTCATCTTAGTTCAAAGTAGAACTTGAAAAACTTGAACTCCACCAGTTCATTTACTCCGACTCATATATTACTCTAATTTTATTCAGTTAATTTTAGTAGCTGTTAAACCTGAATGCATATCAATGTAATCTAACAGCCGTCACAATTTTAAAAATGGATTAGGCTTATAGGAATATTTCTTACAAGAATGGTGTGGTGTGGTGGTGGTGTATTTAATTATGGCAAAGCACACTAGAGCTCTCTGCCTAAGGGGAGGGATGCCTTCGTGGAGGACTTTCTAAGGGAAAGTGGCTCGTATACACGTTACACATGGGAAAACCACGAAAACGCCCTGCAGCCAGCCCGTTCGCGGGATTCGAACCTCGGACCGAATTACCAGTGTTCGGCGACTTTACCGCTCGGCCGCTGGTGGGCTCTTACAAGAATGATACAAGTTTCTTATCAAATACGTTGCAGAGTCTTTTCAGAACCTTTCGATGTCAGGAAACTGAAACAATCCATAATATCCTCGCCGAGATTCGAATTCCGGACCTCCCGAATACGCGTTGAGCATGCTTATAGTTTACATCACAAAGGAATGCGGAAAGGAGGAAGAAACTATATCATGAAGTTGTCAAGCAATTTATCAATTGAAATATAGCAGCTGACTGACTAATGTTACATTTCTCAATAGTCTCAAAATTACAACACCAGAAATGAAATCAAAAAATCTCCGGGTAAAAATTTTGCCTAAATTCGCTGTTCACAGTAAATGGCAAGTTAAACGGATTCCAAAAAAGAAATCCCACTATTACAAGTTATAAATAAAGGCCATCACTTATCATTTATAATTCTCAATACTTGAACAACATTTATGATTCTCATGTCAAATTCTAAAAGAAAAAATCTGATGTGTACAACACATGACTTCCTTGTACGGAATATTAAATTATACGCATATTTTTCTTGCATTTCATTTAAACTTATTGGATTGAATTAAATCTACTTCGCAGACAACGCATAAACCACAACAGAATAAATGCATTCTTTAAAATTCACTCTATTTGTTTACCATAGCGACACTCTGGCGTTAGGTTCACTTAACAGTATTATATTTCGTTCATATTATAACTCAGAATGCACAAAATTTTTATCATTTAAAGAAGTATCTAATCGTTGCCACATGTTCTATTCAAATACTATAATAAAGCTAGAACGATGTATAAAAGAAATTAAGCAAGCAAAACAAAAAAGAAACAGTTTTTCACAGACGATTGAGTATTTCTCATTTAATTAATTCAGTTTCTCACTTCGCGCGAAAGGCAAAAATACATAAAAAACTCAAAATATCTGTATTAAAAATTACGAAAGTAAATTTTAAACACTTATTTCCTCGAAAAAATTCCAGAAAGGATTAAGCATGATTTAATTCGCAATAATAAATGAAGGCGTTATCTTTGTTGTTGCGAAGCTAAGTTTCTCTAGATTGGCAACAAATCCACTACTCTGCTGTTTCAAATGTAAACAAGCAATTGCCGCCACCAAAGAATTATTAGGCTTAGCGGCACTGAAACAACTTTAAAATTCTAATTCAGAAGTCAAACAACAAAAATCAGCGTAAATTTGCAAACAAAAGTTAGCTTCATTTTATTCCTATGTTTTCCGTGCTCTTCAAGTTTGCTCCTCCAAACTAGCCCTTGATGAAGAACTAAATTATTTAAAAGCAATAGCTATTGACAGGGGCTTTTCACCCAACATTATTAATCAAGCAGTTAAAAAATTCTCATCTCAACACACTAAAAGCCACACTCTTATTTTAGGAGATTATAAAAATTCTGTTGTCATTCCCTTCTTTCCATCAATTAGCTATAAAGTTGCACATATTTTGCAGAAATTTAACTTTCGGGTTGTTTACTCTCCCATCAATAAAATTCCAACTTCTATACTCAAGGACCCCATTCCGGATATGAATTCCTGGGGTATTTATAGGATTCCTTGCCAGTGCGTTTTAATTTACATTGGCCAAACTAAGAGAGCCTTAAAATTTCGCGTCAAAGAACATGAGGCCTATGTTAGAAAAAAGGAAACACAGAAGTCTTCTGTTGCTCAACATTGTTGGTCCGAAAATCACACTTTCAATTTTTCTGCTGCCAAAATTATTCAAAAAACTGTGAAAATCTTGCAAATTTACGCTGATTTTTGTTGTTTGACTTCTGAATTAGTATTTATTCGGCGTGTTATTGTGTCTTAACTTTAAAATTGTTGATAATTCTAAAAATATTGCATACAGATTTACTAAAGGCATAAAAACCTTAACCGGAAGATAAGAACAACATAATTCAATCATTTTTAAAGCAAAAAATGTACAATTTACAAACATATAAGAGTAAAGAAACTGAGATCACTGAGCCGAGTAGTAGGGTGGATGTATATATAAATATATTTATATTGTAGCGAAAATCGCTCTTTTCAACCGAGCTCCTCATAGCTTAGCGGAGAAGGCGCAGGACTCGAAACCTGAAAGTACCGGGTTCGAAACCCATCAACGGCAAGATGCCCGATAATTGGTTTTTATGTAAATATCCTTGTTGTTAATGTTATCTTATTTATGTAAGTTTCCTTCTTATTCTTCCAGAACATTCCAAGTCTGGAATGTTTCAGCATGTTCATTCAGTTCTAGTTAATAAAAAGTCTTTGAGTTTTAGACTTGTACTTGCTTGTTCATTAGTAGGATCCCCTCATCTACGCGACAATTTGGTGGAGGCGCCGGGTATTTCTCAGTTACTACGGCAGTGTTACGCCGAAGCCTGCGGATTCGAGGACTTCCTCCTGAGTTTGGGCTCTTACAGGATTCGCGTAAAAGATCGAGAAAGGTGGTGGATGAGAAGGAATCCGAGCAGAATTCTCCAGCAGCCAGTTCCGCTTCAAGTAATATCGCACCAATACCGATCCTGACGTACCAACTACCCAGAAGCCCGTGTATATTCAGCGGGGATAGCCAAGAAGACACTAATAGATGGCTCAAGGACTTTGATCGAATCGCCAACTATAACCACTGGGATGATCAAATGTGTCTGGCGAACGTCATTTTTTACCTTGGCAAAACCGCTCAACAGTGGTTCGATAATAATGAAGATACATTTACCAGTTGGACTGTTTTCAAGACTGCTCTTAAGAACACCTTTTTCCGAGCAGCTGATGTAAAGCGCCAAGCTGAACGAGTACTATTGACACGTGCTCAGCAGATCGATGAGACGTCTGAAGCATACATTCAAGATGTTCTCGCTCTCTGCCGGAAAGTAAACCCATCTATGTCTGACGACGAAAAAGTGGCCCACCTCATGAAAGGTATTGCTGAAGATTTGTACCAGGTCCTAGGACTATGACAGCGTCCCAGGACTATGACAGCGTCGATGCCTTCGTGAAACGCTGCCGTCACATAGAAAGCCTTCGACGAAGACGTATCGTCCGATCACGATTCCAGAGGCTGCCTAATGTCTCCGCGGTCTCGGCCGATGCGGACGCCAGTGAACTAAAGTCTATAGTGCGCACCATCGCCAGAGAAGAGCTTCAGAAGGTCCTTACGCAAGTTCAGCATATATACACGGAAATAGAACCCGTAGCACCGAATGACATAGCATCTGTGGTCCGGGAAGAGGTTATAGAGGCGCTGGCACCACTCACAGGAGCAGGGAGAAGCAAAAACACTACCCAATGTTCACTTCCAGTTAGGTCGCAACCAAGACGGGAAGCCAGCCAGAGAACTGCTCCACAAAGTAGGACAGATCTGTGGAGGACCTGACGATAATGTACCTCTCTGTTTTCATTGCGGACGCCCAGGACATTGTTCTGAGGTACTGTAGGGAAAAACGGCCAGATATTTGAAAATGCAACGGCAGATATTTGAAAATGCAAGAGCCGCAAAGACGTCCAACCCTCGACGGGACAGGGACACTGAATCTACATACAGCTTCGACGACGAATATGCACAACCTAGTTCTTCCCGAGTAAGGAGCAGTTCGCCTTATCCGCGACGCTCTCTCAACCGCCGACAATCGCAGTCACCAGTACGCCGGTCCAGCCGTTCCCCACGCCGAACCAATGAGGAAAACTAGCTCAAGCGACCTGTACAGGAGGTGAGGCCGCAGTTGAAGAAAATCCTCCGACGTACACCACAGCCAAGTTGGAAAAGAATAACACTTTTATCACCGTGAACGGACAGTGTGTGAAAGCCCTTGTTGACTCGGGTGCCGATTATTCTGTCATATCTGAACAGTTACGTCGACAGCTAAATGCTCCTATGTTTGCTGAGAATGGACCTGTATTGAAAAACTGCCTGTAGTAAAACTGTAGCTGCCTGCCTCGGGACGCTGTGTATTGAAAAGTTGATTTGAATTTGGGACTAAAAGCCGTTTGAATTCCTTGTGTTTTCCTGAATGTAGTCATCAAATGATACTTGGATGGAATTTTTTCCGTGCCACCGATGCCGTTATCGATTGTGGAAATCAAGAACTTACACTTGCAGAAATCCTTCCAAACATTGAATATTTAAATAAGTCACAGCTTTCCTTGTTTGCCGCAACCGATTATGTAATTGAAGCAAACACCGCAAAGCGAATATGTGCCTTGAATTCAGAGCTACGGGAAGCAGATGAAGCTATAATTGTTGGAAATAGAGTTCTTATGTGCGAAAAAGAACTATCGATTGTCACTATAGAGGATGGTTGTGGTAAATTATGGGTAACTAATTGTTCTCTACGAACCCAACTGATACCGAAAGGGATGAATGTCGGCAATTTAACGACCATAAAAAGCGACGCTATTTGCTCCCTCAGTGATCAGGCTCCAGCAGGTTCCAAGGGACATAGGTCCAGGAAAAGGTTATCTCAAGAAAACT